ATATATATATATATATATATCACCGCTCTCTCACTCTCTCTCTGTGTGTGTGTATGTGTGTGTCTTTGTGTGCCTCCCTCCCCCCCTCTCTCTCTCTCTCTCTCTTTTCTTCTCTCTTTCACACACAAACTCACTTCTTTTGGTTTCTTCGTTTCGAGTGGCGTTTCCCACCCATTGCCTGCATCTATTCTGCTGCACCATTTTCATTTGTCCTCACCCTCCCACACTTCTGCTTCTCTGCCCCCCCCTCCCCTCCCCCTGCTGCTGCTGCTGTGGGCCCACGCTCCCGCCTCCACTCCGCCGCCGGGACCAGCACCAATCTTCATACGCGGCGGACGGGAGAGCGGGAGTAAGAGAAAAGAACAAAGCGGTGCTGGTGGGGTACACGCATATGCAGAGGGAGGGAGGGCTGCGGAGGAGGCGTGAGGCGAAACCAAGGGGCAGCGTGTACATAACGATCATCGGCGTGCCGTATTACCATCATCATCATCAGCGTCAGTGAAACAAGAACAATACACAATGAGCGCATGCGGCAGACACAAAAACTGCCACAAAACCCTCACATCCGTCTACTACTGTACCTCTTCCTTCCTTCAAGTATGGTTTCCCCCATTCCAACTCCTTTGCGCAGGATATATATATATATATATATTGGATAGAGGACCACAGCCGCAGATGTAGGCGTGTGAGATACTTCTACCGTCTGCCCATCCGTCCACAACCCCCTCCTCCCACGGGTAAAACAAAAACACACGCAGAAACACCCACACCCACCCACACACATCGCGAGAGAGAGCCGGAAAAAAAGCCACGCGGTGAGTCACAATGACGGGATCAAAAAGAGTGGGAGAAGTGCTGTATAACTTCAGACGTACCGCACGGGAGTGATGAGAGAAATAATGATAAATAACGACGATGCGTAAGTGCATATACATGTAGGTATGTGTGTGTGTGTATGTGTGCATCACATTCCTTCCTTTTGCACGCATGCACCACTGCCATCACCACAACTACTTATAACACTCTCATCATCATCATCATCATCAACAACAACGACACCCCAACTCCTGCACTCGTTTTTCCCTCCTAGTTTCGCTAGATAACGTAATGTATGCTTGTGCGCGCCCCTGCGGCCTCCACTCACTCACTCACTCACTCACTCAATGAATCTTCTGTCTCTTTCCCCCTTCTTCAGACCTCATCCAAGCACCCTAAAACCACGTCACGTTGGCGGGGCCGCGTGTGGCGCCTCGCGGGCTGCTCTTCAAGGCACTGTTGGTGGTGCTGCTGCGGCGGTCACGTGCACTCTGCGGCTGGCTGGCCGGTGTCTCCTCCTCACCGTGCTTCGTCTTCATGAAGTCATGGAACACCATGAGTGGCGTGCGCATGTTGCCGTCCTTCACCGCCGGCAGCTGCTTGACCTGCAGATCCTTCGACCGCCGCTGAAGAAAACCAGGCTGCACGAATCGCTTGCTCAGCAGTGTCTCACGCACGAGCCGCAGCGGGTCCTCCGGCACGATGGTGCTGAGCGGGTCCTCCTCCTCGGGTAGAATGCCGTCGTCCTCCGGCTCTTCTGGGTCCTCTGCGGCGGCACCGTTCGTGTACGTCGTCGTGTGGCATGGCGTGCGGCTGCTTTCGCGCGGCGTCTGCGTGAGAGAGCGGGTGCCGTGCGCAGACAACGCCTCGCGCTGCTCACGCAGACGCTGCTGCTTCTCCTTCTCCAGGATCGCAAGGCCCTCCTTGCGGGTTAGCAGGTGCGGCATCACGTGCTTCTGGATGAAGCCCTCCGAGATGTTCTGCTGCAGCGCGATGGCGGCTTCGTTGAGCTCGGCGTGTGTGTAAGAGATGGCGTACGGGTTCTTCGCGTGGCCGGAGCTGACGCCCCAGCTGGAGCCCAGCAGGAAGTAACGCGGCGGGCACGAGGTAAAGGGGCGCAGCGCCGTTAAAGGCACATTGATGATCGTCCCCACCTTCTGCGAGATCTTGGAAGGTGCCATGATGCAGTAGTAGTTCTCCTCGGAGCCGCTCTCGGGGTCGAAGAAGTACTCCGCCACGGTGCCATGACACTGGAACCCGTGTAGCTCGTTGTCGTTCGCGATGGCGGTGCGAATCACGGCGGCAAAACGATAACGCTCTTCCTGTCCACGGAGGAAGGCACCACGTGGGCGGCGGTCATCATGTGAGTTGACGATCATCAACAACACCTTCTCATTGGTTTGGTCATAGACCATCAGGTCCAACTCTCCTTTTACGATTGTGTTAGGATCATTGTTCTGCATGTAGGTGTACGTGATGGGGGAAAGTACGACGATGTGCGGAAAACCGCGGCGCTCCGCCACATTCCTGGCGAAGCTCTGCCGGCTAGCCGTATTGAGGGAGGGAACGTAGTTGCTCTTCTGCGGCTGCCAGAGTTTTTTGTACTCATCGAGGGTGGTGACATTCTTTCCTACGAGCTTGTTGGGCCCAATCTGCGGGGCATCCGCCGTGATGCTTGCGAGGAACCAATAGCGAAATGTCTCAAGGTCCTTGAGCGGCTTCAGCATCTGTATTATTTCGCGGCTGCTGAGGTCATTGCTCTTCAAGATGCTGTCCCAGTCATCAGTGGCGAGGATGCTAACATAGTTTTTGTGACACTGCTCGATAATTTTCGGCAGTGAGTATTGCGCCACGCGGCGGCTCTTCATAATGTCGTTGCTGTCGGGCAGTCCATGCACTGTGGCGTCCTCACCGCCTTCGAACGGCTCTGCCAGGGCCTTGTCACGCCGCACGCGGAATGATACGAGGCGATCGATGCCGCACTGGCGCAGGATATCATTGCGCGTATTGATGAAGTTCTGAAGGCGCTGCAGCGATGGGCATTCCTCAAGTGCCTTGCGGCGTTGTGCGACGAGCGCCCGCTTCTCCTCGTACTCAACACGCTTGTTCTGGAGGACTTGCTGGGAGTACATCTTGGTGTGCTCGTCCACCTTGAAGGGCTTGCTGGCTGCCTGCGTGGTGAAGAGCGGCTTGCCGCCCATCTTGCGTAGTTGCGCCGGCACCTCGCCGCTGCTGCTCTCGCTCGTATACTCGCCCTCCTCGAGTGTGGCATACTGGCGATACAGTGCGATTGTCGCTGCACTCTCAAGCAGCAGTGTCATGGAGGGTTTGTAAGACATGAACATCTGGTGGCGCAGCAGCACCGCGTTTTCCTTCTCCCACGCGGCTAACTCACGGTGGGCCTCGCGCAACGCCACCTGCTCCTCGCTGGCCATCACCTCCGCGAGCAGCTCCTGATGCTTGCGCGAGAAGAACTGGGCGCGGGCCTTAGCGTTTTCGATGAGGCTCTGAAACGACTCGTCGCCGCGGAGGTACGGCCTCAGCGCCTTCTGCACCGCATCGTCCTTGAAGGCGTCGCGCAGTTGGGCGTGAATCGCGACACGCGCCACGAGAAGGTCCGCCTGCTCCGACTGCAGCAGCTTCGTGATGCGCTCCACATACCGTTCGCTCCTCAGCACATCTGGGTCCCCGGCATAGTATGTGCAGTCGGAGGAGAGGACATTAGCGAGTGTCACCAGCGATGCGCTCATCGTCTTATTCCTTACCTGTTTCTTTCCTTCGTGCTCTGGCATGGCGTTTGGAGATATGAATGGAAAGAGAGAATTATGTGTCTGGGTGCACGTGGTCACATGGAGTATACACACACACACACACACATATGTGGTTTCCACCGCAGCATGCAGAGCGACAGCCATCAACAGCAACAACAACAACAACTAAAAACAGAAACTGCAAGGCGCTTCCTGAGACGGCACCGCCCCAACGGGGTGCTTACACTCTCGCTTGTGTGCATGTGCGTGTGCGTCCGCAAGTCATTTCTATGCGCTGCTGTTGCGGACCTTCACAAAAAAACACACTTGCCCCCCCAAACGGCTGCTGCCGTCGTCGTCGTCGTCATTATCCCACACGTCTGCGATAGGATGATGATCACTTGAACAAGTTGTGGTGCTCCTCGCGCTCCTCCACCTCTGGCACCGCGGCGGCCGCCTCTGCTCGCTTCGCCTCTCGCACCTCCACCGCGTCCCAGTCCCACTGCTCCATGTCGTCGCAGTTCTCCGCCGGCAGGTAGTTCACCGCGCCGTGAAACGGCACCGTCAGCTTCTCCACCAGCGGCTCCACACGTAAATAATCGGCAACCGCAACCTCCGCCGCTGCGAGCTCGACGAGCATGCCAGCCAATGCAACCAGCGTGAAGTCCTCACGATTGATGGCGAGCGCCGCCGCTCGCACGGCGCCCGCACTATCATTGTCGCTGCTTCTGCTTTTATTGCTGACGGATGAAGACTGCGGCAAGTCTCCGCAAAGTTCCGACGAAAACGGCGTGCAGTGGTGACGCTCGTGCTGCTGCTGCTGTGTTTGCCCGCGTTGCCCCTGCGTCCATGCGTACTCGCCCTCCAACACCGCCGCGTGCTGTCGCGCACGCCGAGCCTCCTCTGCTGCCACCTCATCCGCACGGGACAGTCGCGGTCGCTCCTGCTGTCGAACGCGCTGCGGCTGGAAGGCCTCCACAACGAGCGTCTGCACAGGGGAGAAGCGATAATTAATTTCCGAGTCAATGAACAGAATGCGACGCGGTGAGGTCTGCAGATCCGCCGCAATGTCATACATGTAGTCCTGGAAATTGCTCCGTGACGCCTCACTACGCCGCCGCCCGCCAGGCCCACTGCCGCCGCCGCCGCTCACCCCCGACGTGGGATCACACACAGCGCGGTACGGGCACGGGAACTCGTGCGCGCTGAGCTGCTGCGTGCCCGTGCGTGATGCAATCGGGGTGAAGAGCGTCACATCACAGCGGAGGCGGCGCAGCGTCTCGGCGAAGTAGCACAGGAATGGGCGACACTTCAGATGGCCAGGATTGCGCGGGTGAGCGGCGACAAGAGTGCCATGCAGCCGCACACCAACAACAAGGCGGGAGCACAACTGAATGATCTGCCCGCCCGCCATCGACGGCGCCAACACGCCGCTACTGCTGCTGGTTCCACCCCCAACTGCCATGCGCGCAACAGGACCCAAATAAACTAATGAACTAATAACCACCACCACACCCACAAACAGTGGGTTGCCACACAGCAGAAGCAGCTACTCTCGCTAATTAATGCTGCGTGTTGCTGTCGCTTCAAACAGGGACCTCCGCCTCCTCCTCCCCTCCCAGACAGAAATAACCAAATGAGAAGCCTGACGCACACACAGACACAACAGGGGTCTGAGAAAACAACCGAGGGAAAAAGAAAGAGGAAGAAGAAAGAGTAAACATACCACACCTCAACAGTGGTGGGATCAACATCGGAGTCTGTAATCACAAGAACATCAGCACAAGCGAGTGGTGCCTGGCTCCCTTTTGTTCTGTTTTGTAGGGTGAGATGGTGAACCCCTTAAGCAAGGATAGAGGTTGGAAAAGGAGCAACCTCTCCTAACATGCAAGAGTGTACATTCCAGAAGACGCGTGTACGGTGTCCGGGAGAGTGCCCTTTCGGCCTGTGAAACACATCGCGCCTGTGCCTCCCTGTTTGGCATATATGTCTTCAACCACTTCGCTGTGTTTGCGGGACCAAACGTGTCTTTGCCGTCCCACGAGTAGGAGGTGCCATACTCTTCCTCATAACAGCAGTGATGAGCGGAAGGAAGCGACGCGGACGTGACTGCAACAACTTGGCGTAGCGGGTGTCCATATTGTGCTTCATCCGCATGCGAAGGCGCCACGCCCGTTTTGGATCCACCCCATTTTGCTGGTGTTCTCCACCCCTACCCGCACTTTCTGTTGGTGTGTGGGCCGTGCTGCCATTCTCGTCGGGTTTCGTCCCAGCGGTCCAGCTGAACGAAGACGACGACGAGGCAGAGGGTGAGCACGCGGCCACGGATGGAGTCGGCGGATTCGCCTCGGGCGGTGGGGCGGTGGGTAGGGTGACCTCAGACGGCAGCGTTTTCCCCCAGCTGTTGCTAAACTTCGCGATGGAGGTGGTGAGGCTGTCCCATCCCATCTCTTGCGGCTGGTGCTGCGACCTCTTCACGTTGCGTTCAGGCGACGCGCAGCCATCAACACCACCGCGGCTCTCGGGCTTCGCATTGCTTCTGCTGCTAGTAATGCTGACATTGCCCCTGTGCACGGCGGGGGCGACGGGTGAGGACACGGCGGCGTGTTGCGGACGCTCCGGCGTCTGTGAGAGTCCCCCCAGATCGCCGTTGACACTGGACAGCGTGACCGGGTCGAGAGACCACTGCGACGTATCTGCGGTACTTCCCAGTCGCCGCTTTGCGAGGGCGCGAAGGCGGGCCGCGTGAACGCCGTAGCGCACCCGCAGCGACTGCCTGTCGTCAAAGAAGTCGTCGGGGAGGTCCGACACATAGGCAACCAACGCATCCTCCTCATCCAGGGTCTCCGGTGGGAATTCGTAGACGTCCTGCTGGTACATTTCCCACGCGCTATGGCTGCGGGCAATATGCGTATGGATCTTCGCGCGCTCCGTCTGCCACCGCAGGCGTCGATGCTGGTACAGCGTCGATGTGGCGATCAGCTCTCGCCCGTGCCGCTCCCTCTCGATCTGCTCCAGCGCGGCGCGACGCCCCGCCATGCTTTCACTGCCTCCCGACGTCGACTCCATCGGTCCAGGCGAGGAGGACAGCAGTGACAGCACACTTCGACCATTTGCCGTGAATTGGCTTTCACTCTCCATACTCATGCCACCCTTCTTCCCAAGTTGCGGCTGCTTCCTCTTCTTTTTCTCCTCCTCGATGGCCTGCGCAAGCAGCTTCTGGCTCTTTGAGTACACAACAGCAATGGCACGGGAGGGTGGCAAGTCGCGCAGCTTCTTTTCGACCTGCACCGCCGCCTTCTGCTTTACGCTATGGAGTGGGTAGTTGTCGGCGTTGTGAAAGTTCGTTTCTGCGAGCTGCACAATGTCACCATACGTCACGCCGTTGATGTTGCTGATGAGCGGTGGGGCACGCCGCCGCACAGTGCGCTGCAGCCTCTCCGTCGAGTTCAGAGTGGCACCGAGTATTGTGGTGGGCTGGCGCAGGCGTCCGTACCTCAGGCGCGTCCCCTGCGACGTCGCGGCAGACGACACCCCGCCGGCCACGCAGCGCGCGCTGAAGATAATGGAGTCCGCGTCCTCGAGTAGGCAGACGCGGATCAGACACCACACCTCCGCGTACTGCTCCCGCGTCACGGTGTTGAGGTCACGGAGGAATATAAAGGGGAAGCTGAAGAACTTCTCGTAGAAGGCCTCAAAGTTCACTAGCTCTGTCGTGCCGCGGTACACCCACTCCTCCTCCGCAATCGCAAGGTTCATCGCGGAGCCGTACGTGGGGAAGAAGAGGTTCAGTAGGTCCAACACGAACTCCACGTACGTCTCCTTCGTCAGCAGCCCATCCGCATCGTGCGGTAGAAGTTCGTACACATCCCGCACCGCCTGAGAGACCAGCGCGGATCCTCTGTGAAGCGAGTGCCAGTTCAGGTACGCCTGCTCCGCGCGGTACACGGACGGTGCCGGCGCGATGCCCTCCCACGTCTTGGGTGGCTCAATGCTATCCACGTAGACGCACTTCGTCTTGCTGCTGAACGTCGTTGTGCCGCCCTGTATACGAAGGAGTGGGAGACCAAACACCGGCACGCCCTTCAGCAGCAATGGGGCGGCAAGGCCCGGCAGTGGGGCGTCTGTTGCAAGAACCGGGCGGCCCTCAGCACCGCACGTGCGCTGCCGCTCCTCTTCATGCAACGCCCAGCAGAGCACCTTGTAGCGGACGAGCAGCAGGCTCTGCCGCCACGCCCCCAAGTATTCTCCATTCCTGCGGAAAACATGCACGCAGAGCGGGTCTTGCGCACAGGCTGTGTTGAGATCCGGCGGAGGGGCGACGATTCCCTTACCCAGTAGCGCATGCGTTACTTCTTTTGGCTGGGGCGATTCCGCCGCGAGCATTTCAGGCCACATCGCCGAGAGCGGGTCTGGCCACATGCGAATAAATCCGTTCGGCGGCAGCGGGCGGTTCCACACGTACGACAACCCGTAGAGACGCTCCGCCGGGTTCTCCTTGTTGTACAGCAGCCGCACCTCATCCAATACGTGTGCTGCCTGTTCCTCTTCATTGCGGCCGGGTACCGCAACGGCGACAGCGGCGGTTTGCAGGGTGCGGAAGGAAGACACTTTCACGACACTCTCCGGGTGCTTTATGGCCCACTGCGTTGTATTTTCCTCGACGCAGATGTACTGCCCGGTATTGTAGATGGGCGTCCCATCTTCCCACATGGCGGGGGCCAGCTGCTCGGGGAAGTCCTGCAGCAGAGCCATCTCCTCACGGTAGCGCTCCGCCGAGAGCTTGGTGATACGCCGCCGGTAGTCATGGTCGAGCACAATCTGCTTCCACCACGGCAGCTGCCACTGCTGAGACATGCGCTGCCTGCTCCCCGCGTACGCAAACACACAGACAGCAAAAAAA